ATTCCCAAGCAGTTACCCATCTAGGTACTGAAAAGGATCAACGTTACTTAACTTCGGTGATCGCACGAGAACCAATTTTTCAACGGGATATGGCAGCAAACCAGCTCGCATTAAGGAAAGAAAACTGTGTGCGGAATGGGTAATCTAACATTTCTAAATTGATAACGTATACAGCTTCCAGAATATTGAAAAACCATTGCGTCATTTATAGCATAAAGAGAGTCTTGCCATATTTCTGAATTTGTATCTCCTGAAATAACTCGAAGCTTCAAAGGATTAAAAAAATTGTACGAATTATGAGTATACTCTCCAAAAGAATTCAGATGTATTTCTTCCGAATTGCTATTCTGTTCAAACTCGAAAAACCGATACTACGACTGTGGTCAGAGTTCCCTCCAGCAAATGGATATGTAGTTTACCGAATTGATATTCCATACATAATCCAGATTATTTGATTGGTTTGATTTGGTATGCTTTACGCCGTATCAACCTCACTGGGTTATTTAATGTTGACAAGATTTTGATTGCTGGCAGTATTTTTGTCTATATTTCTGAGATGATGTATTATGTACACTATTTACATTATTAGGACTATTGTCCTCATCTTTGTCGCCATATTTATTACAACGTTTCGGCCTTTCAGTATCCGTCTATATTTCTAAGATGAGGTATTATGTATACTATTTACATTATTCGGACTATTGTCCTCATCTTTGTCGCCATATTTATTACAACGTTTCAGCCTTTCAGTATCTGTCTATATTTCTAAGACGAGGTATTATGTATACTATTTACGTTATTCGGACTATTGTCCTTATGATGAGGGTAATCAAAATGGCAACAAAGATGAGGGTAATAAAAATGGCAACAAAGATGAGGACAGTAGTCCTAATAATGTAAATAGGTAGTATTTTTCTTTTAAATATGTATTGCTGCTAATACTTTTTTCCCAAAAATATATTGCTGATAATATTTTTCTTTTTAAAATGTATTCCTGGTAATAATACTTTTCTCCAAAAATTCATTGCCGGTAATAACCTTTTACAAAAATGTATTGCTGGTATTAAAAATTATTTTTAAACTTTCATTATGACCCCAGTTTTAGGGTCAGTTTTTTGCCTATACCTGGGACCCTAACACCCCGGATCGGAGTGGACATGGGAACACCAACAATTAAGAGGTGGTTCCACGCATCTCAGACCCTAATCAGAGGCCTTGATGTGGGATGTAGTTTATTGGCATATCCAGGACACTCAGATTATTTGAACAAACATGTCTCCCTTCCAACTGGTAATGGTGATTTACTAAGCATAGAACAAGACCCAAACTATAGAGAACTCTGTGTGGATCGAAATCCCTATGTAGTCCAAATGGATCTAACAAGACAAACTTGCTAACCATTGTACCACGCCGAAGTACCCTCTCCCACCTGGTTATAAAATTCGTTAGAGAAAACATGAAAATTTTCTCACGATCACGAATCCCGGAGGGTCGTAAAGGCATCAGTCTTTCCTTGACAAGATAATCTGACGGAGCCCAAATTTGGTTTGATTTCAGTTTCTTCCTCCTAGACTGGTTATCAACCCAGGCTATTGCATACTGTTTGTCTTGCTATTTATCTATAGATAGGTGTGGCTGAGAAGAGATGGATTTCCTACTTTTCCCAGGGGTATTAGCGCGTAAGTGTATGTAATGAACACGACTAGGATTCGAACTCGGCTCACAGATTATTCAATTCGAGCCGCTATCATTTACATCCCCGTACGTCATATAAGCTCACCGATAAAGTTGATGAAGCTTATATCAATTTATTAATAATATTCTTCAATGCAATAAAAAGTAAATTTAACTGTATATTTATTAATTACTCATATGAAGAAAACCATTGATATGTGGGTCTTTAATATATTCACTTGAAGCCACATCCTGCATGATGCGGCCGACTTAAAGTTGTATATTATGCAACCAATGCCAAGGAACGTGGGTGTACATCTGACCTTTGGTTTCAATTAGGTCCTTTTGAAAGGATCTCATTGTGGGCCATCCAAAGGTTGATTCGTCATTTTGGTGATTTACTGCGCATGTTCGATAATGTTTCAGTAGTACTTCGATATTGTCAAATAAATATTCTTAAAAGCTCTCGATGAATCGGTGGTATAGACTGTCGCCAAAAATCGATGCACAGTAAAGGCATGGTTGGCAGAAAACACGGCGCCCACAGTTAATAGAGCAAATACCCTACAGGCGTGACCACTGGAAATCGTTTACTGGTTACCACCCGTTGGGAGTTCATTCCTCCAGCTAGTCTTCTTTATACCTTACAGCGCCACTGGTGTTATAAGAGTGTAATCTCTGGGTTCGATTGGTGGTGTGGTCTGCACCGTTCAATTTATATAATATGCAATGCTAGAATTTACATATCTATGCAAGAGTATCCCTCTCTTTTTCACATATAATAAAACATATACCCTTGCATCCACAATGCATCATGTATTGTAAACCGTTCGCAGAGATTTATTGTACGCATTCTACAACCCACAATTATATTCCGATCCTTGGTTTGACTATTACTAAACTTAACTTTCATAACTTTCGATACATTTTAGTCCCAATTGTTGAAGAATTGTCATTTTCATGATTCAACGTTATTGTTTTATGCGTGACATCTCCAGGTCATTCTTTATTATGAACAATATACTCTAGACTAGTTTTTTTACCTTTACCCAACAGCTGTATTACTTAAATAAGAAAACTTCCTTTTTAGAAACATTGATACTCGATTACAATTGAAATAATTCGTATCAGCCTTTATTACGTGCTTTTTGACTGAACATAATATTCTAGTTACGAAAAGATGTTGTTGATACTAACCAAAAAATACTTATTGGATTATCAGATTAGAGTGTTTATGAGCTAAGTTATGTACAATGTGACACGTGGTTCACATGGGCAGGGAAACAAGACACGTTTTGCAACTTCGGTTAAGCAGAGAAAAAAGAAAGTATTTGCACCCTTTTCTTTTTTTACTGCTCATTTTGAATGACAATTGTCGGTAATTCGACACAGGTTACTCTTTCTATAGTCATTTTTGAAGGATATCACAATCTTTTTTTTTTCTTAAAAAAAACGTCACATTAAAAAAAAAAAAATATACGGTAAGATCTCAGTGATCGACCAGCATTCTCTAAAACTAATTGTTTATTCATTGGTTAACGTATCATATGTAACAAGTTGATTAATTAAATTAACTGTCTATATTTCTGAGATGAGTTATTATGTACACTATTTACATTATTTGGACTATTGCCCTCATTTTTTTCGCCATATTTATTACAAAGTTTCGGCCGTTGTACGCCCCGGCCTTTTTCAGTTAGTTGGAATCTCGAACTGAACCCTTTATTTCGCTCGCTGGGGTAGATTGTTCTAGTTCCATGTGCCATGATTAATGGATGTCAGTTATCAGTTATCTCCTGTTAATTCCCCTCTCCAAGTTCTCCAACGCCTTAACCAGGTATTGAATTCAAACTTTTTGGGTTTGTGATTTCAATAGCCTTTCCCGTCCCTATTTAATATAATTTTCTATTTCAGATGGCTTACATGAGTTCCTACCCGAAAATGATGGTGGTCATACAGACCTTCTCGATGTGTGATAGCGTCAATGAAAGTGAATAAACTGAATCCATTCCACATGCTTGGTTTTAATGTATGGCTTCTTCTTCTATTAAGTCTCATTACTTTTTTGATAAGGGGTGACAAGACTTCCAGAGCAAGCTTTGATTTCATTTTTAGCGGATTTATAACGGCACCTACGTCTTTCTATCTCATTTCAATGATACTATTTTGATGATTTTAATGATAATGTTTGTATTATTGTTTAGGGTGTTTTTTTTCATTGTTGATCCGAAATTCTTGATACACCTATATAATTTCCTATTTCAGATGCTTGATACGAAAATGATGTTGTTCATACAGACCTTCTCGATGTGTGACAGCGTCAATGAAATTGAGTAAACTGAATCCAGTACACGTGCTTTGTGTTATTGTATTACTTGTTCATCTATTGTTCTCACTATTCTTTGGTAGTGGGTGACAAGACTTTCGGACCACCCTGTAGATTTCTTCAAAGGGAAGAAGGAAGGATTACACTTATAAAACAAATAAGTAAGAAATGTGAACCGAGAAGGTCGAAAGATTTAGAGAAGAAAACGGCTATCGTCAGTAAATAATAAATGAAAGCAATAAATTAATAGATTCGGTGTGAAGTTTGAATGGAAGCAAGGAATTTTGTAATGAAAAAAAAAGAAGGAAGGACACATTGAGAGATAATATTTCTTCATAGAAAACAAGAATAAAAAAGAAACCAAAATACAAAAATCGCTAACATAAAAAGAACACGGGATTTTACGATAAGCGAATTTTCACATTTTCCATGACAAGTATCTTGTTTAAACCTTGATGTCTGTTAAGAAATAATAGATAGATAGATAGATAGATAGATAGATAGATAGATAGATAGATATGCACAGAATCAGATAGATAGATAGATAGATAGATATGTAGACATATATATATATATATATATATATATATATATATATATATATATATATAGATAGATATAGATAGATAGATAGATATGCAGAGTATGAGTTAGATAGACAGAGAGAGCGATAGAGAAATAAGGATTACGAGAATGAGAGAAATAGATATGCATATAAAGAGATAGATAGATAGATAGATAGATAGATAGATACATAGATAGATAGATAGATAGATAGATAGATAGATAGGCACAGCATCAGGTAGAATGATAGAGAAAAATGCATACACACATAAACGTATATACTCCTGCAGGATATAGATATATTGATAGATAGATATGCAAACATATATATATATATATATATATATATATATATATATATATATATATATATATATATATATATATATACAAAGAATATATATATATGCACTATATGAGCTAGCTAACTAGCTAGCTAGATAGTTAGATAGATACACACGTAATGAGATAGATAGATAGATAGATAGATAGATAGATAGATAGATAGATAGATAGATAAAGAATGAGATAGGTAGATATGCACAGAATCAGATCGATAAGTAGATAGATATACATTCACATAAGGATATATAAATGTTGATATCTCCACGAAAACGCTAAAAATCAGCATACCATGACTAAAACATGCTCCAAGCGTAATGATAACATATTCTTATTGTCAAAATGTTTATGTTATTATTAAGAGGAAGGATCAAAATTTTTTTGGAATATTTAATTAAATTTTTCACTCCTTTTTAGAACATTTACATTTTTAATTAAATCTTGTTTTTTTTCTGCATCAGCGGTTGTACGTGCTTTTAGCATATCAAATTTTAACCTCTTTTTTGCGGTGACATACACATTAATTTGGAAATTCTTGAAAAAATTAAATAACTATCAGATTTGAAGGACATTCTTTGTACATATTCACAAATGAATGAAATTATTTTTGAATTTTTTTTATTAGAAAATCTAGATTAAAAATTAACCTCTTACTTAATTTTATTAAAACTTGAGAAATTCAACATAATAATCTTTAGTGAGGACATTAGTTGAAATCAGAATTTGAAGTTTTTAAATGACTGAATTTTTTTCTCAGAGTCCGTCTTACCTAAAATCTGAAAAAAAACTAAGACATTATATAAGTAGAAAGGCTTTTAATTGCTTTTATGAATAATATATGTTAAAAACAATATTGTGCGGAGAAAAAAAATTTACAAGATTTCTTTTTCATTTCATTTCAATTTAAATAGAATAAGTTATAAAGTTTTAAAATCTTTTAAAATTCTTTATCTATGTAATAATTCTTAGAAAATAATGCTGTTAAGTACAACTATATTTACTAATCACATCTTGTAAAGCTTATTAATGTCTGACCAACGCGAGTTGTTAAAAGAATTTCAATGTTTTTGTATATGTGATTACGTGCAGAAGATCTGAAGTATGGATGTACTAACCGATAAATCTATCCTGAAAGGGTCACGTGTTTTAAGTTCTGTCTCCCTTTAACGCGAAAGACTCCCCCATGTGAAATTTATTGTTTGCTCCACCATACTTAACTATGAACACATTCGACTCTCAGTAAATAGTTTAACACACACACACACACACACACACATATATATAACCAAATCTTGTACTTAAGTCATGTTTGTATACAATATGTTATGCTATAAGTAATATTAGTTTCAAATCAAATTCATTTAACTTTAAATTTACTAATTTTCCTCAAATGTTTCAGAAATATATATATTATTATTTTGGCAAGATTTTTAAACAGAGAATTAACTTTTGTTTATACAATTGAAAAGAAAGTATCAAAACTTAATATGATATGTTTATAACTAGCTTAAACTCCGCGTTATTGGACGGCAATCAAGCTAGCTCCTGGCGAGGGGACTTGATTGGGTATTCGTCTTGTTCATGAGTTTCAGAGTCCATTTGATCTGTGTTTTCATTTTCATGGGACTTTCTTTTTCCTACTGCGGCCATGTTTCTTTTTATTACAATCTGTTCCGCTGTTGGCAGAGATTTCATTTTGCGGGACATACTGCTCAAAATTGATCGCTGCATTTAAGTATTACATTATTAATTATGCATTTTAAAAGGATTGCATTATTATTTATTGCATTTTAAAAGTTCAACGATAATTCTTCTTTCGCCAGTAAATTTAAAGATACTTAATGTGTGTAGGTCCTTGCTGTCTGTACAAATTGATATTTTTTATTCCCTCGGTGACTTTCGCTGGATTTCGCTATTAATTTCCATTATTCCCAAATTTATTTCCAAGTTATAAAATTTCTTATCATACAAAGAAATTTATCGCGAAGAATCACGTACAAAAATCGCCGAAAACAATCGCAGCGATTAAAACTTGGAAATCCAAAATTTCAGGATTACTGGTTGGGATCCTCCCCGGAATGTTTTTAATTGGCTCACAGAGTCGGCTTGATTCCAATATGGTATGATATTTTGGGCTATGACCTCTCGGAGTAAAGTTGAAAAAGTGTGATACACTGACATTTGCTTTTATTTATATAAATGATGATGATAATATTAAATGTTTCCTTATAAGGAAATATTCCGCATTTGTGACCGAGCAGCCGGTTCTAGTGTTGGTTGAAATTTGTAAAATCTTTCTTTTAATATTTTTAGGAAAATTTGTTTCTCACGTCCATTAACTGATAACACTCTTTTCAGTGTTGACATAGGCTTCCTTCTTAACTCTGAGTTTTCCGTTGTGTAGAACGTTAACATATTATTTATGCAATTTTATTTGTTGCTGTTGTTAAAAGCTCTCGATGTGGTTTCTGTTATTTGGTAAAATTCGTTGTGATTCTGTAGCACCTCTCCAAAAGTTTAAAAGAAACAAGGATCCTACATATGACCTACAGGTTTCATGAAGATATTTTAACCATTGTTCTTAGAAAGCGGTTTTATACAGCTGACGATTTACATGTTTCTGAACAGGTTTGGCGCCAAGCATGACACCTATATGAAAGTCTCAATCTGACGAGGCTTTTTGAGAACATGTCTCGAGTTTTCAGTTTTGATTTTTGCATCAATTCGCTGTGTTTTATGACACTTCTGCTGGCGTAGCCTATTCTACTTTTAACTGATATTAATTGTTATATATGTTTAAATGAGTTTGGCGTAATGAAGGATATTCACATGAAAGCCCCGATTTGACTGGACGATTTAAGAACATGACTCAATTTTTTACGTTAACGTTTCGGATTTCTAACAAGACTACCGCTAGAACTG